CCAGTAACCAGTTATTCGTTATTTTCTCACATCTGTGTTTTTAATTTCCTTAATAGTTGTTTTAGTTTATTCTAGGAAAAAATAACTTATTTAAATTGTAAAGGACCATACTACTTGCTAATGGTGAGAGGAAAGGTCAGTTAGTACCCAAGGATATGTTTTCAATTAAAAATTAAAAGTCTCTATTAAAAGTATTCTAAGGCTGTATAATGCTTCTTTGTAAAGGAGATCAATTTGTCTGCTATCCATGATCATACAGGAAGTTTCCAACGTTTTGCTTTTACCAACATTGTTGTAGTCAGTATCCTTGACTATATACACGTGAATAGATCTGTGGGATAAATTCCAATGAGTGTAAATTTTGGTCAAATGGTATGTAAAATTTTGATGGACACCTGGCGAATTGTCCTCCAGAGAAGTAAGGCCAATTCCTGCTCACTCTTCCTTCACCTACAGGGTAATGAGATAATTCTGTAGAACTTTTTTCTGCCTCCATATAAATGTCGTACTTTAGGGATGTTGTTCCCAGCAACACACAGAGGATTGACAGGATATATTTCCCTAGAATCAGTACCTGGAGTAATTGGGCTCCTTCTGAAAAGCGAGAGAGAGAGAGAGAGAGAGAGAGAGAGAGAGAGAGAGAGACACCAGGAAAAGACACAAAACAACCTCCCTAACCTTAAGGAGGCTGTGAATCTTGGCTGCATATCAGTCAATTCCCACAAAGACACCTGCCTACTCTCCTGATCTCATTCTGCTGTGGTTCCCCTCTGTCTTATATTCTCATTTTTAAAATAATTGTTTAAAAATTTATTTTGTGTTATAGCTTACTTAACTTCTTTCTGGGACAACTTAGCAGATCAAATGAGTACATGGGATAGCATATTTCTTTTACCAAGAGCACCACTACTTTGAGCTCTGGGTGCTGGAAGGTGGGGAGGACAGGCCTGGGGTTCCTTCCTCCCTCTCCACTTTCCTAGGAATGAGAACAAAGTCATTCAAGGGTGATGGGCTACAGCATAACCAGCAGTGTATATCCCAGTCTCCCTTGCTGACTGATACTCTCCAAGAGTACCCAAACCTCACTAAATTCTCAGGCCTTTCACCGTATGTCCATTATCCAAGCATTCATTCATTCAATTTCTCAATGGTCATTCATTCAGTATTAATTCCTTAAGTGTCTACTATGGGCCAGAAGGTAGATTTTGGTTTTTATTCTACCAGGACCCAGACACCCATCTCCATTCCCTGCTGCCACTTACCCCAACCCACAATGACCCTACAAGTGTGTTCTTGGAATATGCCATCACATGATCACCTGCAATACACCTGTGAACACACTAGCATTGATTTTCTTCTTGAGTTTGGAAATCATACAAAGGTTTTCTCAGCCGTGCACATGCAGCATGTTCTAACGAATGCCACAGATCAGTTCTATGTTATCAGCACATGTGTTTGTATGTAGGAAATGCAGAAACCCAGCACATGTCTGTAAGGATTAGACACACAGAGCACTATTTATTTTAAACTCTACTTCAGACCTGATCCAAATGCATTGCCAAGACCAGGCAAGCCCACACCAGACATGCAGGGCACACATGTCTCCAATCCATTCTGGCACTTTGCTGCTGAGGAGGGAGGGGGAGCAGAGGGATATGGCTAGGCAGGCGTCCAGGGCTCCCCAGGTTTCCCCGTCAGGCCAGATTGGCCAGCCCCAGGTTCCCTGTCCCTTCTGTTGTTCTTCCCTCTGCCACAGCATTCCTCCTGCTTCTTAGTCATGGATAATTTCCCTACTCTTTTGGCAAATCCCAGGCCATTGCTGCTCTCTGCCAAAGGCCCTTGGGCTAGGCCTGCGTTAGACAAGGGTCCAACTCCCCTATTTTATCTTGTTAGAGGTCAGGCCTAACTGCAGAGCTGGGAAGGGAGAAGTGAGTAGGAGAGGAGATGAAGAACACAGCTTGTGGTCTGGGTGTGGGCTAGCCACTCTCAGTGGACACACAAATACACACTCTGATACACGGATGGTTACCTGTGAAGAGCAGTTGCATCTTCATTTGGTTCCTTGAGGAGGAGGAGGAAATATAAAGAGGGAATGGACATTTTGTAGTCCTTCCCAGCACAGCTCCTCTCCATCCTTTCCCCCGATTTTATTTTTATTTTTTAAAATATATATTTTAATGATTTTTTTACAGAGAGGAAAGGGGAGGAATAGAGAGTTAGAAACATCGATGAGAGAGAAACATCGATTCAGCTGCCTCCTGCACACTCCCTACTGGGGTTGTGCCCACAACCAAGGTACATGCCCTTGACCGGAATCGAACCTGGGACCTTTCAGTCCGCAGGCCAGCGCTCTATCCACTGAGCCAAACCGGTTCGGGCCCCCCTGATTTTAATGGCTTAAAAAAGAGATTCTGGACCCAGATAGAATAAAGATCCTTGGAAGAGGATGGAAGAGAGAGGAGCATAGACCTATAAGCTCCACATTAATTCACACTTCAAATATAAAACACAAATTCACAGAATGAAAAAAAAGGGAGATCACATACATTGAGCACTTTACTAACATATTTCATCATCACAAAAGCTCTATGGAGGAAGGAATTGGAGACCCATTTCACAGATGAAGAAATAGACTTGGAAAAGTTACTAGTAAATAACATGCTCATGGCCACATTTCTATTAATGGTAGGACTGAGATTTAAGTCCAGGCTAGTCTACTTCACAAGATAACTTAGGGAAAGAATTCATTTTACAAGAGGATTCACTCTAGGATGACTTTAGATGAAGGAGCCCCTCTAGCTTTTCAAATATGGTATGATGTGGAAACTTGATCTGGTTGTGCCATCCCTGCAAGAATTCCCTGGAATGACTGCCTTGAATAGCAATGCTGTGGTCATATCAGACACATGCTGAGAATGCATACAAGGTCCCTGGAAGCCAGGTGAAAGTTGTTGGTGTTGTCTTTGTTGTTGGTGGTGTGTGTGTGGCCTTGAGGGGAGGGTATGAGAGGAAATTTCTAATTTCCATAGAAAAAGGTGAAGTAGAGTTTACTTTTGTTGTTAATTCTCACCTAAGGACATTTTCCCATTGATTTTTAGAGAGAGTGGAAGGGAGGAGAAGAGAGAGAAACATCAATGTGAGAGATACATCAATTGGGCGGGATCAAGCCTGCAGCCAAGGTACGTGCCCTTGATCGGAATCGAACCCACGACCCATCAATCTGAGGGCCAACACTCTATCCACTGAGCCAAACTGACTAGGGTGAGAGTTTACTTTCTTTCATTTTTTTTTTAATGGAACGTTTCATGAATTTGCGTATCATCCTTGCTCGGGGCCATGCTAATCTTCTCTGTATCGTTCCATTTTATTTATTTTTTAGTATACCAGTACGTGTTGCAGAAGCGAGCACGAGAGTTTGCTTTCTAGATAAGCATCGAACAGGCAATTAGTGAATGAATTAATGAATGAACAAATTCATTCATCAAGTGTTCATTGAGCGCAGCCCTGTGCCAGGCGCTGCGAGGGCCCTTCAGATGCTGATGCCACAGTGGATGAGACTGGAAGCTCTGGGTCCAGGGAGGGAGGTGGGGAAGGGCCCAGCCCCTGTCATCGTTCTGGTAATGCTACTGCCCCTCCCCCTCCCCACCTTGATCTTTCTGCTCTAAATATCATTGTGTTTAAATAATAGTGTATGTATTTTTAAAAAGACTCCAAGAAGACAGCTGCCTCCGAGTATTAATCATGAAGAGGCCAGCACTCAGTCTCCATGGCGACTCCTGACAGAGAGCAGGGGAGCAGTTCCACATCCCTCTTCCTGGGGCCATGGAGATGCAGGAACACAGCATCTCTCAGCCTTTCTTTCTCCCTGCCTCTCCTCTCTCCCCTCTCCTCTCCATTCTTCGTCTCGCCCATCCTCCCTCTCCACTCCCCTCCCCGTTTTTTTTCTTCCTGAAGGATTTATTTAAGAGCAGGGACAGAGGCAGGATCCAGCCATCAAAGGAACAAGGACAAGGCTGCAGCAGAGATGAAATTTGCCTCCAACTGCAACCTCTGCAATACACCACTCCCCCCCGCCCCTCTAGGCCCCTGCAGCACCCCTAGGCTTCACTGACCACTAGGGCAGAGTCTGATCATCTGTCCCTGAGGAAAGGGACCCATATCAGGGTCCTTCCCTGTCCCTCCCTCTTCCCTGCCCATGGCCAGACATTGGTTTATGGTTTGAGTCCTTATTGCTATTTTAAAAAAGTCATATAGGCTTATTAGAATAAGGCAAACATGTTAAACTGTATAATGCAAAAGAAAATATCTTTCCTGATTCCATACCCAGGCTATGGGTGTGAAAGCTTCTGTACCCTCGTTCCTTTTGTTCTTTCTAGCTTGGGTCATAGGGGAGGTGGAAAGGAGAACAAGGTGGCTGCAAACTATTTAGGAAAAGTTTCTTAGATTCTTCCAAGACAG